AATTTGTTGTCGATCTGTCCTTAAAAGAACTTGGTTAGATATCCGTTTTTAAGAAAACATACAAGCCCGAAAGGTTAGAAATTAATGGGATTGAAGACGATGTAAGAAAAATTATTTTTTTGTTACTGACCTATTTCTACTACTATTTTTATTCTTCCTTTTCTTCATATTTCTCTCGTTTTTCGGTGATTATAAAAAGATCTGTTATTACATGTGTTATTACATGATTTTTAGCAAGAGAAAAATGAACATTCTTTTCTGATAGAAAAATAACTTGTCTCTCAAGTGCTTACACGTCTTCTCGATTATACGTGATTTATCAATAATCATGTTATAATTGGCATCTTCGAAGGAAAATAACTTTATTTATGCATCAAGAGGGTAAATTAAATCTGCGTTTCCATTTCGTTTCTCACTAATTATAGACAAACATTAGCTATCAAACCAATTTCAACTAGAACTCTATGAGAAAAATAATTGTTTGTTGAGGGTTAATAATAGCTCTCTCTCTCTCTCCCCCCCTCTCTCTCTCTCTCTCTCTCTCTCTCTTTATCTAACTATCTGTGTATCTATCTCTTATTTTCGCACTGATTAATATCATTTTTTGATTATATGAAAGTATGAGAATATAAAGTTTCATTTTCCGATCCTTTTTCTTTCAATGAAAGCGACTGGGGAGTAAACAACTCCGTTTAATCCCGAGACGGGATTCTTATCGCTTCTTTTATGCATACTTTGTAGACCTCGTTAGCGCTCTCTACGCTCTACGTACTTTTTCAACTACTTACTATTTAACGGGGCATTTTTTAATTTAGCGAGCGCACACGGAGCGTCCGCGGATGAAACACTCTACGTGGATATTAAAATTCCTTCGAGATTCTTTCCAACTTTACCGCTCTGCCTTGAAGAAAAGAGCTTCGTTGAGTAGTTTAACATTCTTCGACAGTAAGCAGCGGCTATCTATACATGTTTATTGACTTTGGACGTATCTCTTTGCACCCTTTTGTATAAATAAATCCTATAGCAGTTATTTATGAGCAAGGCATTATCAGCGATCGTGAGCGTCATCAGTTATCTACTGGTTTATGTATCGTAGTTATTCTCAAAACATCGAGAAAAAAAATCGTATCACATGCTATGGAAATTTCTCATTTTTAAATTCTACATTTTCAATGTAATGTTGGATAATAATAATTATTTTAAACGAAACAAAGTAATAAATTAAAAGTATGGTATATTTCTAATAGATCAGAAGTTAGTTGCTTCACTCTAATATTAGCAACATAATTAAAATTATAGGTTTCCGTTTCTCGATCAGTTACGTAAAATAAATGCGAATAATAGCTATATAGTTTCAGTTATCACAACTGAAAAAGAAAGAAGTATATAAGCAATTAATAACATTTAGGAATTAATGAAGATAGAAGAAAAGAGTTTAATATCACGGACATATTTAATATTAAATTCGTATATATATTAAGAGAATGGAATCTTAAAGATTCAGATTGATCTCGGCAAATCTGACTGCCTCAAGAAATTTAAAGTAATTATAACAGCATTAAGCTTTTAGTATCAAGCCTCTTAATCTTGATCTTGGAAAATTTGACTCTGAGCGTACATTAAAAAGAGATTTTAGTTTCTGCCAATTGAGCCATGTAGTGAAACACATCGTTTTACGACGCGAGTACGAAGTACACGGACTCCCGCTACTTCACGTTTAGAGCCGCGATTTTTTTCCTGTATTTTCTTTCTCTGACGAAAAACAGGCAGAGTAATCGACTGAATCAAAAGCTTCGCTGAATGAGAAGGAAACGGATCTACGCGTATTCACGCAAACTCGTACACGTTCGCGTGAAAGTGAGAGGAACGTGACGGGAACAGCGGTGGCGGGAAAGTGCAGGAAATCGTGCTGTTTCGATGCCATTTCCATGGAAATTGAGTACCTCGAGAGGGCCCGCCGGGCTCTCCGGTCGCTTTTCGACGTCTCGATCCGCGGCGCGGTATGGAACACGGAAAAAAAGGAGAAAGAGAGTGAATTATCAGACTCCAACAGCGAGAGAAAGAACAACCGAGAGATCGGTTTATTAGTTTGAGGCTGGCTAGAAAATTACGAAGTACAGATGCAAGTACGATGCAAATCTGCAAAATAGTATAAAATGCTAGTACATATATACGAATCTATACATATATGTATACATACACATGTATATGTACAAATGTTTTAGCTTTATTTAAAATATTATGTTGATATTTTTCTTATAATTATAATAGAATTTTCAATAATTTTTTTTTAATTATTTCAGTTATCATAATAAGGAAATGTAATAAAGAAATATAATAAGGAAAATATAATTCTATTTTATATACAAGTAGAGAATGTTTTATATTTCAGATATTAAATTTTCTGAAATCAACTTTAGATAACTGAAGAAATTAAATATGATGAGAAATAAAGAACATTGCAAGGTGATTTCGAATATATGTATATTCCACTGCATACATGAATTCTTTAGTCAACTCCTTGTCAGTCTAAACTTTTTTTAACAATGGAAAATATCGCGATTCTTTTGACATATTTTACACATGACATGATTGTCATTTCATAGTTTTTTTTCGTATTATTACATTGGACTTATTATATTACTACTCCTAACTTCGATATTCTCATTTAACAAACGCAAAAGAGCTACCGCTATAGTAGAACGTGTTTGACATTATCCAGGAAAAAGGAAGAACGTTAACAAATGCAGCGACAATCAGGAATAAACACATGACGCAAAACCAAAACGAAGATACTGAAGCGTAAATGGAAACATATGCAGCCGCAGCCGTTTTGAACTAATTACGAACAACGCCGACGGCGTTTGTTTCAAACAAAAAAGGCGTATGCAGCGCGTACTGTGTGTTTTTTTGTTTTTTATCCCAAAACCGTAATATTTAGTTTTTGTAACCAATAATTTTTGTTGAGTTTGCGATAGCGATACGCGTAAAATATCACGGTCATCATTCCGTGATAAATTGGTTTTAGTACTGCTGAACTCTTTTAGCGCGAAAAAAAAGATCTTTTTATTCTTGACCTATTCCATATATCGAGCTACATCTCTGTATCTTTCAGCTATACATATATGTATATCCATTAATTTGGATCATTATATTTTTCAAAAGGTGTTACGTATTGAGTCGCGAGCTCGCGAGTTTAAAAAAAAATCATGTTACATGCAATAGCGCATAATTCCGAGGGTTGACATTTCAAAAATATTTTAACATATCTAGCAGTAATATGCAACTCGAATTCGACGAGATCGGCGAAATGATTTTACTGATCAATCGCCGTGCACAGGCCCGCGCGCGTATATATGTATATATGCGCGTATGTATGTGCATTTTCAATGGATCATATGCGATCCAGCTCTCTTTGAACTTGCAATCTCTTTCATTTAGGCTGTTTCGTGGATCTCGATTTTTTTTAGTCCTTTTAACGCTGATATTCCTTTGGTGCGATTTTGCGCGATCGTGCATCGATAACATCGAAATTTGTCGGGAAATACGAAGTGAGCAGCGAAGCCACTTCTTGATCGAGAGCCATTGATTAAGTGCTAAAGGAACGTGTTATTAAAAAAAATCGAGTTATTTATTTGTTGATTTTGCGCGAAACGATATATTCGAGGCAGACTAACTTAATGAACCCCTCTTGAAATTTGGTTGGAGGCAATCCTGATGCGATTATAAACGTAGCGTGTTATAAATTACGCTTTCTTTTGCACGTGTTGAAACAATGTAAATAATTTTGGAGCATGGCAATCTTCACGTGAAATATTTGCTTTCTCGCACTTAATGACGTATGTACAGAAATCTTTCTCACGGATCTCTCTCGAATGGCGGTCGACGCGATAGTCCGAGGGAAAATCGCGAATCGGCGGGCGTGCAGAACGCTGCGGCCGATCGGCTTTTATCCTGCGAAAACGCTTATCCGATAACTATTGTTTGCACGCCTCCATTTACGAGGTGAATTTTCCATGCCGCGGTCTGTGCCGTTTATCGGCCGTAACCGTCGCCGGTGCCGTCTAATAAATATCACTGGTCGAGCGATTTTATTTTAGTAGCTCTAACGTTCTCTCTCCTTCAACGTGATCGGCGTTATCGACCACACCGGCATGACCGCCGCGAGCTTAATTGGCTAACTTTCCAAAATCAGCGAAATTCAAGTAGTGTGGGCAACGATATTATATCTTTCAGCATCTTGTTCGAGTAAAAAGAGCATATTTAAATAAAAAGAATAGATATACTGATAGGTAGTTTAATTATTAGTGTCGCGTTAATATTTATATTTTATAAAAAGAAATGATTGTATATATAATTTTACACTTCAAGTATAAAATTATTATTGTCAATCATACACGAAATATATGGAGCAAGAATTTAAATAGAAATATCCGTCAAACGATAAAACTGTGAGTAACTTGCTTAACGAAGAAATGTTGGAACGTCTGACCTGTCGATAAAGATAAAATACTTTTTACGGAGAAAATATGACGTACGTGTGTTGGCTAGGTCGAATATTTGTTAGAGAGTCAAAGCCGTTGACACGTTCTATGCAGTATAGGAAAGATATGCAACGAGATCGTCGTGAGAAAACAGAAGGCGTATGGAACGGGGAAAGAAGCGAGAAGAAAATTTTCAGCACCGAGAAGAGGAAGCTTTATTTTTCCTTTCGTATGTAAACGAATACGAAAATTCGTGTTTGAGAAAATTGAAATTCGGCCCTTGCCATCGCCGTGAAGAATATCGCGAGTTTGAAAACCGACGTAGGGAAGAGAGGAGTATCGTTCGCGTTATTATCGTCTTGTTTTTGAATTGTGTTTCTCGAAAAATGCATCAATGTAGAAGTCTTCTAAAGTCAACCTTTAGGTTTGTGGAAAATGAACTTGCGGGAATATCTGTTGCGGCGTGGTATTTGATACTATTCAAAGTACTAAGTATATAGATATATCGATACTGACTGTTCGCCTCAGCACGGTCCTGACGGTCTCCACGTCCTGTCGTGTAGGCCAACGAACGTAGACAATGCCACTGAGCAGGACGACGAACACTCCGATCCAGATAGTCCATGCCAGGACATTGCGCGTTCTGGCGAGTAGTTTACGCGCTGTCCTCGTCGAGATTACCTCCTGCGTCGGTATCTCCAGCTTCTGTGCCCGCCTCAATATGTCTTGGAGTCGCTTCTTGGCCTGCTCCACGTCCGGCACTCCCATCGTCCTTAGCCTTGTCTTTATCCACTCGTTCTCACCACGTTGATCCCGAGTCCCGTAGGACCGCGTCCTCGCGCTAACAGCTGCCGAAGGCTCACGATGGAGACATTAAGGGTCGACGGGATCGTAGGGTTGTCTCATATAGAGTCCTCCTCGTCGTCGTAATGGCGTGTCCTCGAGTTTCTGTAAAATTCATCCCGAATTCTGACTTCTCGTATTCCGAGGAGTACTCCTACTTTTCGAGCACACGAAAAGTGTAAAATCGTAACCTTGCTCGTCTCCGCGAGTTCTCCTTCAGCATGTACCTTTTCTGATTTCTGATGAACTTCGTGAAATTATTTCTACTCTTTGCGGTACAAAAATATCTTCCCTCGATTTTTATATTTAGTAACATTTATTTAATAAAATTCATTTAAATTAAAAGAAAACAGGCCCCGATGGTCTCTGCTTATGCTAATTTCGAGCTGCGTAATCTCTCGATAGGCATGTAGGTTTGAGCAATCTAATGTCAAACGAATTGGCTTTAATCTTTAATCCCTACAAAGGAATTTGAAGATACTGACCTGTTTGCGGCACCCTTCGCTTCTCGCGCATCTCCCGATTCCGTAATCGATTCTGGAATTATTCCCGCCGCACTACGGTAATTACCTAATAATTCCAGGATCGATTCCCCTACCCCTCTCTATCTCGACAGGAATGATGCACGCGGAAACTCGTCCCTAATTTCCTCCCATGTGAAAGTTCGACCTAGTTTTGCTGCAAGCTCCAGGAATATAAAGGCCCGCACACGTGTCAGGCACGCTAACGATTTGACGCGCATCACAGCCAATAAGTTTTCTTCAAAAAGTCTAATTTTTAATTATTTATATAACTATATGACGAAAAAGCAAGAGCGACTTGGTGCCAATGAAAATGCGATATTAAAACCGGTGAATCCAAGATGTAATTTATTACATCGAGTACCATGTAATTTCACAGTTCGACATAATTTTTTATTTTGGGACATTTTTCAATTAACTTAAGTTTTTAATTATTATTCAATCGAATGGATTACTTTTTGATAACTTCTTCACGTAGGTATAGCATTAACTTATTTCTATTATTTATTCTTCAAATTAAAATCGATAATAGAGTTTATATTAAAACTTCAATTAAAATACAATTGATTTGCAATGAAATATTGAAAAGAATATTACATTTATCTAAATAGATTATCTAAAAATAATTCCAATATCCGCATCTATTGCTATTACTATAATTTGATGCATTATTCTCTGTTATTTAATATTGCCCCTTTTATATTACTCCTATTTATTCCAAACTTAATTTTTCTATTGTACGCAAGGTATCTGTTATCAAGAATTCTATCTCTTCATCTCAAGTCTCATAACTTTTCCTCCTCTGAATTAGATTTAAACTCTGTTCTACGATTGAATGAAATCGTTTTTCGGGTATCTCGAGAGTTTCCAGTCGGAAGGGCTTCTTCGTTAATTTCTTATAAATTTGCCAAACGGTATTCCGTGGGCCTTGTCCGGATTACGTTGCAACGTGGCCAAAAAATCTTTTGTGAATCTTCCGAGGAAACTTTCGTGGCCCCTCGGCCGCGCCCCGAGGGCGACACGGAGGCTGAAAGAGAGCGGTTTATCTTCCGAAAGAAGTTCCCACGTGTATGAGGGGAGGAAATACCCCTTCGATCAAACCACGACGAGCCGCGAGAGAGCACCGGGCCAGTGATTCTCCATCATCTTCCTCTTCGCCAAGACGTCGATCATTTATCACACGCGCGTTCAACATTAATCAGCTGCTTTTGTACCGGCGGAGGAATCTCCAGAATTCATGATACTAATATAGGAATTTGACTAGACTCGAAATTAACCGCTAAGCGTCTGAAATTGCGAATCTTTTACGATTCCAAATTCTGCTTGTAGAGCAAAGAGTTTATTAATACTCTTGATAGATTTAATGTCGAGATTTTTCTCTCAACAATTGCAAAACGTTTTAATGAAAAATTAAAATATAAATATATAGAAAGACTTACATAATTTTCCATTAATTTCGAATAAACTTTAGCAAAAATTTAATTATAATGATTAGTAATTTAAAATTTAATTTAAAAATTTAATTTTGAACATTTATAGTTTAAAAAAAGGTCGAACGTTTGTTAAATTGTTATTTAGCAAGCATCACTTATATACTTTTAAAAGATCTCTTGAATATCTTTATAATGCGCATTGTTATGTATTCCACAACTATTTCCGCAATGCCATAGAGAATGTTGTTTCAGAAACTTTGATAGTACCCTATCCCATTCTAAATACAATTACAATATAGAGACTTGCAATACTAGCGATAGCATCGTGTTTCGAGCCATTGAATTGATGTTTTCGATACTCGGCCCAATTTCCCTCTTTGCAGCACAATGAGTTTCCACACATTCGCGTTTGTGAAATACCAAACTATGTTATACTTGTTGAAACGATCTTGTCTTTTTTCTATCTTCATTTCATTTCTTTTCTATTTCGACTTCTCAAGATTACTTTAGTTTCACTTGACTCTTAAGCGATTGGAAAGAGATGCACCTTTGCGAATTGACAATTGGTAGAAATGTCTGACAAATTATTATTTCTTACAATTTTCAATAACTTATAAATTATACATAATTCACAAATTGACGTTATATTTGAACAGATCTAATATATGCTATATCCAATCTAGAAATCTAGAAAAGACGCTAACAAAATTTTCGTTAAGAAAGAATCGTTTTTGAGCCAGTTGGTCAAATTATATGAAGAAAATTCTAATACATCGGAAATTCACGTACGAAGCCCTCGATGCGAGTATTAATGTAAAATACAGGGAATTTATATGTACATACTCGGCGAGCAGTAATACCGCGCAGTAAGCAGCGAATCCGTTTTGTGCTCTCGTGCGGAATAACTCATTTGACGTTAGCTAAACACGATGAACTAGATTCCGAGAGACGCGCGTGGGATATCGCTAGCTAACGTCTACGAGTCCGAGATTGTCTCAGCAAACACGCTCGCTAATTCATAATCTCTCCGGAGACCGTTCTGAAGATGGAGATGCGCCACACTCGATTACACCCGAGAATCCCTTCGCAGGGAATCCCATTCCGACGAAATTACAGAAATCTTCCACGATGAATAAGGAAAACGTGTTAATTAAGCTTAGCCGTTTGGTATTAACAATTTTGCGAGTAATGTTTAAACAAAGTACATACAGGTTCAAGCACAATAGATGCTATTATTACGTGAAACGTGTTAGAAGAGTTGAAAATTTAAGATAAAGTTTTTAGATGAGCTTGATTCTTTTTTTACGATGAGAATATAACAATTGATGCAGAAGTAACAAAGAATATTGTTAGGTACATAGTGCAATATAATGAAACGTTCGGATTAAATATAAACATTAATTACTTTATATAAAATCGATCGCAATTACAAATATTAATTAATTCAGATATATTTTTATCGTTCGCGTTTACGACCGTTTGTCATGTTTTTTCTTTTTTACTGTTTTAATTGCGATTCGAATAATGAGGTCAAAAAGTATCGGAACAAGTTCTATGTAACTCACGTCAGGATTTGTCGGAAATGATGTAATGATATCGCGTTTCTGAACTTTAGAGGGCAATCATATATGATTGCATTTGAAGCACGTCGTCCGACATCAAACCTTTCCATCTAATTGCAGTGCTCTTAGTTCAAAGACACAAGTCATTCAAGCTAAAGATATCCTTCTCTACTGAACAACAAATTTATTAAATTGAGAGTGTCGAGTCTTGCAGTAATTGTGGTAAACTTATTGTTCACGTTAATTTATAAAGGAATTTTGTTAAAATAGAATTCATTATTTTCAATAAAATGAACTTACTCGTAATCTATATATCCGCATTAATAATCGAGCGGTTAATTAAATATGCTTGTAATTTTAATTAAAATTCTTACGACCACACTGTTAAACACATTACAACTGATGTCATAATATCGTCCCTGTCAAACATTGTAAAAATGCACCTTGAACGAATGAAAGTTTTTTTATTATGTATTTCTGTAATACTTAGGCTATACAAAAATTTTGATGGCTCACCATTCGGTAAAATTAAAAACTCAAAGAATTTTTCTAAACGATTAAATTGCTCGATTGTTAACATCTCTCAATAAGATAATCAATTCTTTATCCTTACATCATTTCATTTTATATTGCTGCGAATTTGTCAATAGATTATTACAGTTTTTTGTAAACATTAGTTAACCACCAAATATTTATTGCTTCATCTCACTGCTGTAACAAATCGAGGAACCAGTTGAACTCCAGTTAACTCTAATAAACTTATAAAAGTAGTTTGTAGCGCAATATATAATCGGTCAACATTTCCGCTCTACTTACAAAGTACAATTGGAAAGTAGAATGCGTAAGCATTTCATTTAGTCGGTCAGATATCTCGTCGCTATCATTAAATTCATTTACGTAATGAGTTGTTGTAACATAATGTGTGACACTGGTCATTATTTCCGAGAATTAAATTACATCTCTCCTGTCGATGTTAACGAATTTTATCAATGCGAATGCGACACTCTCACTCGTATCGCCGAAAATCTAATCGCTGTAGGGTTTCGGTCGCTGGTCAACACTGGCAGTATAGAACAATTAAATTTGTGCACATTCCGCCACGCTGTGGAGTAACTTCGCTCGTTCGTCGAACTCGTATCTCCCATTCTATATTGCCCCATATTGCTGACAAACGAATTGGCAAGTGATTGCAGTAGGATTTTGGTGGTGCCTCGATCAACGTATTTCCGGCTAACATGTGACGATTAAATCGCCATACATTCCACTTGTGTTAGCCGACATGATCGCCATCAATACGCCATTCACTGATATTGCCACATATTGCTGCAGTTATTTGGCGAACGTTGCTAGACAATATGCGACTACGTCATCAGTACACGATATTGCTGGTGTTGACTAACTTTATCCTCACGAAGCGTCATTCCCCTATCGCTCGAAAATAATTGATGCAAACGATAACTGATACCATCGTCATATCGGCCGACCGAAATCAACGTTCGCCGGGCGATGTAATTGCAATCGAATTGTCGTTCAAGTTGTTCGGCATCACCGATGCAGAACAATTGGGCCGACACACGTTCCTCCCGCATCAATCAGCCCTCTCGTTATCCGGTCGAACGCATATATGTAGCTTTACACGCGATACCTGATGACACTCTGACTGAAATTTCATCGCCTGAAGCGACTTCTTGGACGAGCAAGGTTCGACTCGATCGTATTTTCGGAGATCCTTACTGTGTATCGTCACTCCTCCCTCGGCGAGGACACTTTTACCCATCAGTGACGCCAGCGAGACCGATACACAATCCCCGGACTGGCACACGACACCCCACGGCGTTTCGTGCACACGTGTCCCGCGAGCTCGACCCCCGGGGGACAAGTCTCTAGACCACGGCCGGCATTGTGGCGTTTATTCCCCGTCCGCGAAACAATCCGCGTTTCTGCCCTGTCGGGTGGATGATGAAGACGCCACGAACGAAGGCGCAATGCGATCTCGCGAGCGGCGGCCCGATTCCCCGGACGGGCGAGAACTGACCGGCCTCGCCGAGGGTAGCTACCCTTATAGATATACGACGATGGGGCGCGCGCATGTGCCGCACCGGCGGTGATGCCGCGCCGCGCTGCGGATCCGGTCGGCGCGGCACGCTAAAGGGCCGCGCCGATTGGTCGGTCGAGGGGGTGAGCGAGCAGCTACCAGCAGGGGAGAAAGTCGGTCGCTCGGCCGGAAAGTGACAGTGATAAGAGCCCGTGCATGCCGGGCGCGAGAGCGAAGCGCATAGATCTTCCGACGCCGTGAAGATGTTGATCGACGCGAATTTATTCCGCGCGGGGCATTGCCTTTAGTTATATAAAACTGAGACGATTGATGGAAAGCCGATTGAATTAATTAGATATCCAATTGAAATTGAAAACTGATTTGCACGTGTTACATATAGATTAGTTTGTACGCGTGAAAAGTCTTTAAGAGATCTTATTAAAATTTTGGAATTGTTTTACTCGCTGCTACTTTCTTTGCCTGCGAGAGATATGGATTAAATAAATATAGAAGTCATTTATTATTTTAGAATAACAATATGTACCTATAGTGCTTGCGCGCGTTTAAATATGCATACACATGACCTGGCTGTAAAGTTATTGCGGTATATATCTAATATCTATAGCGGAACAATGTCGTGCAAGTTTCGACTTGCAGATAAGCCACATAACTTTGAAGCGATATGTTTTGTGTTTTAACATCTTTCGCATAAATTAAAAAGAGAACAAATGATCGAAACACAACCGTGCAAGGTTTTCCAAGAATTGAACGTGAAAAACTTTAACATTAATGTTCAAGTATTGGATATACGAGAAAATCACCTTCTCTGAGATTAATTAATAAGAAGATATTTTATCGTGCAATTTTAATTACAGCTAGTAAATCATACAATCAAATTAGTTGACAAAGTATAAGAATAATGTATAAAACCTGTGATGCTCATGAAGCTACGTGTTTCTTCGCACAATGCCATTATTGTAAAAACGTTTTGCAACAAAAATGGTTGTAAAACTCCCCTAGAATTACTGATTACCCCTTTTTCGCCGAAATGCCATATTGCCTGTTCTCGCCGTAGGCAATGGCACAAAAAAAAACGGACGGAACAGCGGAAAAACCCCGCACGCTCGGCGGATCAAAGAAAAGCGAGTAACCGAAGTGGCGCGCGGAAACGAAGTTTTTAATTTACGTCGCCGAAGTAATATGTCGACGACGACGAAAACGCGCGAAACGTGGAATTCGGTGGGAAATATTCTCCCGGGCCGAGCAGTTCTCATTTCGCCCCGTGTTCAAATATGTGCCCTGCTACGCGTCCTGTGCGCGCATACTTCGAGTCGCACTGCTCGTGCCGCTAAAACTCCCGTAATTGCAAGAATCCTTCAGCGACTTCCCGCCGCGTTTTTCTCCTCCTCTCCCTTTGCTCCCAACGGTTTTTATTGCCCGACTGGTTAGCAAACTCGTGCGAAAATGTTCATGCGCTACGAACTATCCTAAATCGTCAACTCGCGTTGTCCTAGAAAATTGAGAGAATTCTCGACAAAATATCATAATAATATCTAGCATAATATTTATTTAGCACTGCGTCGCACGAGCTTTTATTTCACAGAGGCAGCACTGAAGAAGGGGGGAGCTGTTTATTTGACAATTTTATTTTATATGACTTCACTTTTGTTTTTCAAACATATTGTGTTCGAGTGACCAGTAACTTGTCTATCGCTTCGTTTTGCCCAGATACTTTTTGATCCGTCTAACTTTTAACAATGCAATTTGCGTTTGGTATTGGTTCTTCCAAAATAAATAAATCTCTTTAAAACAGAAAGAGAAAGAGAGAGAGAGAGAAATATGCAAATACATCTGCGCGAATGCAACTACGAGGCTGCTCGTGAGTATTACCAGTCTTTGTTTTTCTCGCGACCTGCTGACCGAAACCGCCACGTGCTCGCGTGCGTTTGCAATTTGCTCGCATGTTCAGCGTCGATAAGCGCTATCAGAAGCGTTCCGGCTCATTCGACGCGCGACCAATTACTTTTGCCCCGGGCACTTAGCGGAGACAATGGGGGCACGTCGAAGGCGGAAAATCAAGTGGCGGGAAAACGGCGGGGCATGTCACGTTTACCGTACAAATGTCGCGCGCAATCGCCCGTGAAGATAACGAGATCGTTAATTAGCGGTCGCGAAAGACGGCGCGAAAGGATCCGCGAGAATTGAGCGAAATAAAAAGGTTTCTCCCGCGAAAAGACCGTGACAGTGCGTAAAATAATTTTCTTTCGGAATCCTGCCCAAATCTTTTCCCCCTTTTCTTTTTAACGAGAAACGGAAACGTTATTAATCTGCCAGCTACAACGCAAAATAATATGATATAAACATGTGGCAAGAAAATGCACATTTTATTCTTTGATTTGTAAATAAATCAGACTTGACTTGTTATATTTGTTACAAAGATACATTTGATATTAATGGATAGTTTTGTTGTTTAATTTGGAAGAGTTTAATTTAATTTGTAATTAAATAATATATTGTACGTAAAATGCCCTCGAGGTTGAATGCAAAATATAATTACGAAGGATTGGCATCTGAAGCTTTGACAAACAAATAATAACTTTATGAGCAAATTTACAACTAAATTTATTATTTATTTATGAAAAGATATCAAATTACACTTAATTTATAATTCAATAACTATCGAATACGTCGATATTCAATAGTTCTTTTATAATTCAAGAATTATCGAATATGTCGATAATTCAATGGTTTATTTATAATTCAAGAATTACCGAATATACTAAATATAGCGTTCCCATCATGCGTGTTGTTTGATATTTTTGCAACTTCTTTTTAAAATATTTAATTTAAAAAATATCGTGTATTAACTTATATAAAATATCGTCAATATCGTATTCTTTATTACATTATATTATACTATCTACTATGAAGGAAAAGAGAAAAAAGTTAAAATTACATATTCTTCTTTTATAGTTTCTAGTCATTCGTTCATAAATCATATTTGAATTGGTAAAGGTAAAGAACTTGAAAAAAAAACAAAGATAAGAAAATTACTTACAGGACTTTGATAGGATCAGAAAAAGAGCAAATCCGACTCATTAAAATCTTTAATCGTTACATGAGATATAGCAAGAAAATGTTATGACCAGAAAAAAAGGGTAGAAACTGTCAGATTACATTTTTCGAGTTTATCGACCCGGCTTCAATTTCATCATTGATTTATTACTCGGTATGTCAATGCACATTTATTCTGGCACTGGCGAGTTTTTTTTTTATGAAAATCCTATTCACGTTTTGCAGCATTTAATTTTTTGAAAAGTTTTGATTATCCGCTTACGCGATTACACGTAGAATTATATAATAAAATCCTTTTAACGAATTGCACACATAAAATGGTAAATTGTTAAATTACTAAAATTATATTGAATTTATTAAATTATATTTTGAAACTTACTAAAGTATACGCGTTAAAATTTTTTAAACTAGAAATTTAATATTCTTCAAAGGAGTCATATATGCGAAATATTAGTATGCTAAATTAACAAAGAATGAGTTTTGTATAGCACTAAATTCTTCGACATATTTATTTAGTAAAAAGCAAATAATATAAAAAATGATATTTATATATGTGACGATTAGAAAGTAGGACTAAAATTTCATACGATTACAATCGCCGCCGTATTGAAAATACATTGTATCTCGTAAAAGCTGGGCAACTCAATGTAATATTATAGAAGGGCTGTAGCGTCGTTATGCGAAGTTTTAACAGGACGAAAGCGCAGTAATAACATTGTCGTGAGCGCATGCACTTGTCGATAAAACCGCGTAGAAATGAGAGATAAAAGAATATTTAATCAGCGCGCATGAAGTGGCACAGAGATAGGTAACAAAAAGTAGAATCGTCCCGCAAACGGAAGAGGCCCCTCGAGTACGAGATAGAGAGGGCGAGATAAACGCGCGGTTAATTAGTATGCAAAGTTTGGGAATACCGTAGGCGAGTTAACAGGGAAAGCGTCGCCGCCGACGGTGCTACGCGAAGACTTGCGCAAATAAATTGCGGAGAGATTATTACGTCACGATTTGCGCGATGCGATAAATGAAGCGTGAAGCGTAATTGATATGGATAGTCAACGTAATTTATAAAAAGAAATCTGACCTGCGATGCCTGCTGAAAGAGACTCACGCATGAGAAACTGTAAGAGTTAGAATGGTGTAAAGAAGTGACAAATGGAAAATAACAGTATGTTATAACGTATACATTGGCAGTGCATTTAAAATTTTATGCATAAAATGCTGTACATTTCAGACGTTCGTTTTATTTGTTAGATTTCTCCTAATCAAAATGAGTTCTTTACTGGGGAAAAAAATTAAAAGCATAGAAGTGAAATACTTATATAATTCTCTCAAAGTATTGTTTATATGAAATTGTTCAATATAAATTGGGTATTTTACGTGCAATAGTCCAATATCATTAAAGTACTTGTCAGCTCCGAATTGATGTTCGAGAAGCTTACTACTGCTTAGTCATTTGATAAAGCATCGAATACAAGATGATGCTCTCTCTTCGATGGAGATAAGGATCGATTGAGGGGAAACGAAGAGATGGACACTAAGTGGATGAGGGAGTATTTGGACGGGCGATATCGACTGGTGAAATCTCGATGAAACAAGGATACTGATCTTGCAGCGAAGTTCTGGGAAATCTGGGGGCAGAAATCGAGAGAGGGAGAGAGAGAGAGAGAGGGGGGGGGGTAGTAATAACTGAGGTTACTAGTGCTAGGCTACTACTCGATGCTATCGAGAAGAGCTGCGGAGGATAAACGCTCAAGGAATGGATATCGAAAATCGAACGGTAGGCATCTGCCTGTGTGATTCGAAATGGGCAGTATTGGTCCACAAATCGTGAAAACGACTACGGAAAAACGCCGAAATACAGTAATAAATCGTAAACGCGGCTCGTACCGTGCTTAACTTCGGTCTTGACAAAAATCAGAGAAAATCGAGTAGAAAGACCGTAATTTATTTTTTGTTGTGCCTTAACGTAGCCGTTGCACGAACGTCGATCAAGCTCCACAATTGAGACGTGGATTTATAGCTGG